CCTAGTCTGTTGGGCTTTTATAAAACCAGCAGTTTCATTTGGAGGAAAAGGCACACAGCCTCTCACATTATGCAAGTCGAAAATCCCGTATGAAAAGCCAGCGAGGTTACTGAAGGCTTGCAGGTTTCTCCTGCATCCCAGGGCCTGCCTGTGGCGCACACCAGGGAGCCTCCTACAACACCTTCTCTGTTGACTCATTTGTGAGTCACCGCATTTTGAGCAGAGACATCACATTGCAATTCTGCTGTGAGGAGCCAGAGACATTAGGTAAGAAACAACGTATGCGTTTTCAGGGCTGATTCAGACCTGTGCGCAGCCACGGGCAGCATAACGACGTGCAGGCATGTGCGATTCCGTCCAGACCCTCTGGGGCTCTCACTGCAGACTTTTTGTAACAGACACAACCTTGCCATTTAAAGCTGCAAATGTTTCTCTGGCCAAGGTTCCTGAACAAGCGGGTACTCTCCAACTAATTCCTAATATGACCCTTTTTTTTTCCTTTCTTTTCCTTATCATCTTACAACTGATGAATACATAATAAAAACTCAAGAAAACCTGGGGGTCTTCTTTCAGAATCTGGTACCTCCCCTCAAAGAAAATTGCTATGAAATCAAATTTTCAAGTCTATTTCAGCCAAGTTTCATGGTTCCTAGAACATTTTCTGTTTAGTCTATGTGTATGCACAAAGACTGATGGTTCTCAAAGGGAAAGTTTAGCCCCCAGGGGGCATTTGACAATTTCCAGAAACATTTTTAGTTGCCACAACTGGGGGTGGAGGGAGAGGGGTAAACGGGGAGACATCTAGTGAGCAGCACCCACGAGCTGCCACACACCCTCCAGTGCACAGGACAGCCCCCCACAGCAAAGAATTATCAATATATCAATACTGCTGAGGTTGAGAATTCTCAGCCTAAACAAAAGACATTCTCTCAAAAAGTCAGATCACATTCCACATAAATAAGGTAATGTTAAAATAGGTGGTGTTATTCAAAAAAAAAAAATTCCCTTCAAAGAGCCATTTGAAAAGATGCAGGCTTTCAAGGAGAAAAAAACTAATGACTGTCAGGTTCCCAGCTGGCCTTGACACAGTTCCAATATTTACAGGGTCCCTGTGGATGCTGTACATTTATAAGATTGGAAATAATAGGCTTCTTTGTAGAATAAATACAGCAATTTGGGTCTTAATGGGAGCTCTGACACACGCTGCCTCATTTCAGCGGCACCATCCATTAACCTTTGAAACTTCAAAAATGGAAGGCAACATTTGATAAAGGTTCCTAAATTACAGGAAAAAATATTAACTGGGTTTTAAATAGACAACATAGGGGAAATTAAGAAAGAAAATAATTAGCGTGGTCACAGTAAACTCAGTGTTACTGGAACCCAGATCTGAGGTGAGATAGCATAGTTTTGGGAAACTGATTGCATTTTTCACAGGCTAAACTCTAAATTCTCCTTTGTTTTCTTTTTTAGACAGAAACATCACTATTGCTGGGTGGCAAATGGTCTATAAAATAAGAAGCCATACTGTTAGCTTTCTTGTTCCATATTCTCAGGTTTACTTACTTTCAAGCTAGAGGTTTTAGAGAGGAAAAAATGAAATCAAATGTCTCCAGTTGGATGGGTCTCTGAAATGACAGATGAGATCCAGTCGTAAAAGTCTACAGCAGAAGCAGACCCAATTGTTGGATGCAATTAAAGTCTTGCTAGTAACAACTGTTTAAACAGAAGAGTGTTCTTTCTCACCTTTAGAGATGGATAAAGAAACTAAATTTCAGAATAAAAAGGAAAAAAAATCTAGCAAGTCTAACTAAAAGCTTGATTAACACAGAGTGAACTTCACTGCAGATTTATTACTTAGTTATATGCTCTGTGTTGCTTCATAAACCTTCATACACTATATTCTCCCACTCAGCTCTGCCCAGAATCTCCAAATGGTACGTAGCTAAAAAGGATGAGCACAGAGATTTAATTCAATCGCACAATCTGAAGCTTTGATATGATGCCCTTTTAACAGAAACAGCTTACATTTTTAGCCTACTAACATCTTTTATTCAAAGAGTTTTCCGTTTGATCGCATTTTTTCCTCATGGCATGCAGGTGGGGGATGTAGGGCAAACATCCCCATCCTATCAAAACTGAGTCTCAGGAAAGCTATCTGACTTGTCCCAGGCCACACAAGTTCATGGTGGTGCTACGATAGAGCTCTCCTGTCTCCACACCATGCTCGAGAAGTCACATAAAATATCACAAAAAATAAACCTTGACAATGAGAAAAGCAGTCCCTGACATCCAGCAGCTGGCCTGGTGTATCAGCCAGGCCTTGGTGTTGCTAGGAGCTGGCCTGACACTCAGGCTGGGCCATGATGTTCTTCTGCTGAGTGTGGACACTTTCACAAAACAGCGGCTCCAGACAAGGCCGCTTCATGGATGCAATAGATCAAGACAAGACAATCCCATTCCATAACCACGTCTGCACACCAACAGAATATGAACATTGTCCAAGCCACAAAAATGACTATGCCTCGCCTCTCCTCCAGCAAATACGAGCGACTTCGGATTCTTCAGCAATTACAGCTTCTGCTTGGATCCACCAGCCCCACCCGTAGGTGAAAAGTATCGAGATACCTCGTCTTCCTGGCAGCACTCCTACCCACAGCAAAGCCCCACTTCTTTACATCCTCCCCCAGATCAAGTGCACAAGCCCAAATCCTAGAACAGGTTCTTTTTATCACTTTCCTACTGAGAGGCCCCACGGCTCCCCAGGGTGTACATGCAGTGAGTAATAAACCCAGTTGCTTAAGTTTCAGTGTGTTCCTGGTGTTCTCTGGCTGGAAACCACTGGGACCACCGACAAGCTTATAGAAAGAACCAAAAAGGCCATGATTCACGCTTAGCTTTTTAAACGTGGCTACTGACAGCATTCCCCTAAGTCAGAGGGACAAATTCAAAATCCTGGGATGGTTATTTGAAAACCAAAGGGAGAAAAGCCCACACAGAGGGATAAAATTGAGTGACAAATAAAAGATACAATTGATCTAGCAAATCTATATTTAAAGACATTTTGACACAAAATCAAGTGGTCAATGACCTGATACTTCAGCTTATTTCTATTGTAAACATGAGAATCATATGGAGAGAGGAGTCAAACAGGATGACTCAGGTCCAGAAATTCTCATTTGATTCACCTCCCCCACATCAATATTCTCATAAAACATAAATCTGTGTACCAATGTGAAAACAGCAGTCATTTTAATTAAGCATTCCAACTCTTTCTATCAAAAAGTAGAATTCTGGATGACACAGTAGTCATGATTACCCATTCCAACAGGGAGGGCTAAGTTCCTAACAAAATTGTATTATAGACTATGTCTATTTGTATCAAAGTATCTGGCTAAATATGATCCAGCAATCCCATTCCTGAGCATTTATCTGGAGAAAACTCCAGTTTGAAAAGATACATGCACCTCAGTGTTCATAGCAGCATTATTTACAATAGCCAAGACATGGAAGCAACCTAAGTGTCCAAATGTCCAATGACAGATGACTAGCTAAAGAAGATGTGGGAGATATATATATGAATACTACTATATATATGTGTGTGTGTGTGTGTGTGTGTGTGTGTGTGTGTGTGTGTAATACTACTCAGCTATAAAAAAAGAATGAAATAATGCCTTTTGCAACAACATGGATGGATCTAGAGATGTTCACACTAAGTGAAGTAAATCAGGCAGAGAAAGACAAATTTCATACGATACCCCTTATATGTGGAATCTTAAAAAAAATTAGATAAATGAACTTCATTACAAAACAGAAACAGACTCATAGACACAGAAAACAAACATGATTACCAAAGGCCGGGGAGGGATAAATTAGGAGTTTGGGATTAGCAGATACAAAGTACTATATACAGAATAGATAGACAACAAGGTCCTAAGGTAGAGCACAGGGAACTATTTTCAATAACTTGCAATAATCTATAATGAAAAAGGATATATATATATGTATAACTGAATCACTATGCTGTACACTGGAAACACAACACTGTGTATCAACTATGCTTCAATTCTAAAAAAGCAATAAAGCAAGTCGTGACATTGTGGTGATGGCAAATACATATCTATTCAAGAAATAAAAATAAAAACAAAACAAAACAGAATGTGGCTAAATCGCTTCTAAAGAAATCCAGCCCATCAACGAGGTTTTATCTGCATCACAACAAACGTTCCCGAATTTCTGACATTTTTTGTAAACTTCAGGTGTCCAGCATTATAGTTGGACAGCTGTACACACTGCAAAGTGGTCACCACCACAGCTCTAGTTGCCATCCATCACCATACACTTAACTGCCTTCATCCACTGCACCTGTCCCCCAACCCTGTCTCCTCAGGTAACTCCCTTCCCCTCTGAATTTTTTATTGAACTAAGTCATGTTGACATGATTAAGTCATTTTCTTTACAAATGATGATGAGATGAGCAAGCTAAATAATGATAAGTATTTTTAATGAAAACTGGCTTTAAAATGAGACAGATTTTTTGAGTAGCACACTTGAAGAATATGAGAAATATCAGTTATCTAGTTGCTTAATGTTTCAATGTCTCAATGTCTCCATAAATAGAACCCAAATTATTTTGAGTCAGAAAGGATTACTGTCCTAGTTTAATATGATGCCACAACTCGATTCCCCCTTCCTAATTTTTGTGCACTTCTGAAAACTAAATGTAGACTCAACATCTCTCGTAGGTCCAGCTGCCGCCAGTGCTCTGTCACAAATGGCCCCCAAGCTGCTAGAAATCTCCCTGAACACTCACTAATGGTCATTTCCTTATAGTCCAAGCCATATCATCTTCTACTTTTTGTCTTTCATCCACAGCCTCTACTCAGAGAATCTCTCTCTAAGTCCCTAGTCTTCGAGTTTTCTACTAACTTTTCCATTGGTTCATATAAAATAGAAATAATATGCTTGTTATTTGATGGGGGAAAAACAATTCTACTCACCACGTTTTTTCCTTCATTTTGGGCATCTCGATAATCAGGATTAAGCTAAAAAACAAACAAAAAAACTAGTTATGAATTGCTGTTAAAAGCACATTAATAAGACCAGTGATCTTTAATTTCAGTTCACTATTGTACCTTTAACTAAGCTTAACATAAAAAGAGGCTAAGAAAGAAACGATCAGTAAACAGTTACCTCCAGACCCTAGTTGCAGGAGAAAAGAGCTAAAATGCCAACTTTATGGCCTTTGTTTATCTCAAACAGTGGACATCCTTGAGCCAGTGAGAGTTGACAATCTCACCTCGTCTGGGGAGGCATTCAAGACAGTTCATCCTTTTGCCCACCACAAAATCTGCCGCTGACCGATAACACAGACATCAGTTTTTAAAAACAGACCAAAAGAAAGTTTTAACAATGATTCAAGATCATGCTCCAAGTGCTACACACACAAGAAAAGAAAAATCAAGCAAAAGAAGAGCTATGTATCCGAACAGATACATATATCAGATATGTCAGTGCATAAGGACCACTGAAACTAACAAACAACACGTCTCTGGGTTGGGAGTTGAGGGGTCATTCCAATGAGAAGGATGAGTTCTGGATATGCTGTGTCCTGGCCCACACCTTCCAGCGGCTTAGATTCCCATAACTCCTGACTCCCACCTGACTACACAGTTTCAAAAAGACTTCCTCGTTGTACAGAAATAACTAGATGATCTGTCAAACAACAGGTTTATAAGGTGTCTTCTCAAAATAGCAAGTTGTCCGACTGAATTTAATCCTATCAATGTGAATCAGTTGGTGCATACAATATGCAACTCCAGGCCATTAAAGTCACCACATGAGATGTAAAGCCGGTGTCTTTCTCAGAATGACACTTATCACAAAATAATAATGAAAGGTGCTGGAAAAAATCAAAAGCAAAACAAAGCAAAAAGCTGTCAATCTCATTGAACACTAAGGCTGAAAACAAGCTAAACTCCAAATTTTCAATGAATTGACAATAATTATAAAGCCAATATTGCAGGGGAAGAGTGGATAACTCCCCAGTTGTCATCTCATGGCAAATCTCAATCTCACTTCAAGCCAGTGGCCAAGACGACACAGTTAAGAAGATGCTTCCTGCAGTTCCACTATTTGCCCGCTGACCCGGAGAGTCCGATTATTCACCAACCAAAAACCGATACAGAAGGGCTTCTCCATCAGTGAGAAGCTGCTGTGAGATGGAGCAGAAAACTGTTCCTCCAATCCTCCCCTCCACTGTCCACTACCCCCTCTGTCTTCTCATGGCCAGAGAGAGATACAACAAAGCTCAGAAAGCAAACAGGCAGAGAGTGGACAGAGCAGATGGTGGCAGAGGACTTTCCAAGCAGCACTGCCCAGAGAAAGGGAAAGCACTGTGGCTGCCACGGGCTGGAAGGGCACTGCGGGCTGGAAGGGCGCTGTGGGCTCCAAGGGCACTGCGTGATACACTAGAAACAGCAGAGGAGCCGGAGGGAGGAGCAACCACAGCCGAGCCCAGGGATGCAGATCCGACGGCCCCTGGAACTGGGAACTACACGGCCCGGGCCCTGCAGGCTGTCCTGCAGCTGAAGGTTTAGCAAGAGGATTGAGAAGAAAGACGTGGAACCAAAGGACCATCCGTTCAACCCTTCTGCTTCTGCACAGAGCTCACCTGACTGAGGAAAAGGGAGGAAACAAGAAAAAAACAACACGCGACTGACTGGAAAATACATCAGAATGGGGAGAGTTCTTTCTCAGAGCCTTTCTGAACATTATCTATGGTATGATACAAAATAAATTTTCAGGGAGAGGTTTGGCATCTTCAAGAAAGTGCAACTAAATGATGCCTCTATGTGAAGGCAGTGGAAGATGAACAGCTAAAACTATGATACAAAAATAATACGATAAATAATAAAATAATACAAAAAATAAAGACTCACAATATAAAGAAGTTAAAGTAAGGGGGATTTCAATAAATGAAGACATAAATATAAAATTAAAGTCCACCTTGGCAGCGGAAACAAGCATAGTTGACATTACAGGAAATGAGCGATGCAAAGGCTAAAAGGTGAACAGCTGTCCTTCAGCTCAGAGGAAGGATGTAAAGAAATGAAAATGAGGAAGAAGGGAGTAGTCATGGAGGACCAGAGAAGGGTGTATCAACTAGTGGATGACCAGGTACTAGACGGGAGAGAAAATAAGGGGAACACAAGCCATAATCGAAGACAACGGACAGTCAAGCCTTCCTCAGCTGAAAAAAAAGCTGTGTATGCGGAGGTGACCATATTCCAGGAGAGTCAACGAAGACAGACAGACACATTCGAGGATGATGGGGAGCTGGGGGAGAACAGTGGTCAGGGCATCAGAGCCAGAAAGAAGGCTTAGACAAAAATGCCTATCATGTACCAGGAGACTGGATAAACAAAATACGGCATGTTCACACAACAGGGCACAACTCAGCAACAAAATGATGAGCTGCTGCTGTCACAACAGGATGGATCCCAAAAATATATAAAATGGAATATTATTCCATCATAAAAAAGTAGGAAATCCTGCCATTTGCAACAACGTGGATGGACCTTGAGGGCACAATGCTAAGTGAAATAAGTCAGACAGAGAAAGGTAAATACTGTGTGATCTTGCTTATGTGTGGAATCTAAAAATATAAAACAAACTTATGTAAACAGAGATCAGTTTTGTGATTACCAGAGGCAGGGGTAGGAAAGGGTGAAATCAGTAAATGGGGTCAAAAGGTACAAACTTCCAATTAAAAGAATACAAGTCCTGAGGATGTAGTGTACAGCATGGCGACAAATTTTTAAGGTACAGTCCATTTACAAAGCTGTGTTAATTTCTGATGTATAGCACAGTGATTCAGATATATATACAGATATATATATATATATATATATTATATATTCCTTTTCATATTATTTTTCATTATAGGCTATTACAAGGTAGTGAATCTAGTTCCCTGTGCTGGACCCTGGTGGACCGTGGTGACTACACTTCATAGTACTGTATATTTGAAAGTTGCTACGAGAGCAGATCTCAAAAGTTCTCATCACAAGAAAAAAAATGTATAACTGTGAGTGTTGATGGATGTTATCAAGATTTACTGTGGTAATCATTTCAATCAATCTATTTATATATATATAGTTATATGTATATATATATATATAATTATATATATGTATGCATCAAATCATTATGTTGCATACCTAAAACTAATACAATGTTATATGTCAATTATATCTCAATTTTAAAAACACATTATAAATGGAAGAAAGAAGACACTGTGTGACTCCATTTATATGAAATCTAAAAACAGACAAAACCAAAGTATGGTTAAACAAATCGGACAGTGGGTGGGGGTATTAGGGAAAGGAGAGTCTGGAAAGCAGAACCCGGTCCAAGAGCCACTTGACAGCAGATTTTCAGTTTTCAGAGCAGGTACACAAGGGGGGAGGTGAGGCGTGGAGGAGGGGTGATGAAACAGGAATCCAGTTCAAGCTGCTTGTTGGTGCAGGCCAGCCACTGGGGAGGTCTAAGCCTGAACTTTATTTTTCTGCGGAGATCCATACCTCATGCTCCTTAAATTCCCTTGAATTATGAATAAAACAATTAGTTTCAAAACAGGATAATCCCTGGTTCTGGAATCCAAGAGTGAAAGGTAAAAAGCCAAAAAGACAGTGATTCAATCAGCTGCCTGTCTACTGATTAATCAAACTCGAAAGGCATACTTTTTACTCCATAGTAATGAAAGTTCCAGCACAGTACGCAGAAGAGGTTTATTCAGCTCCTTTAGCCAAAGATTACTATATTTTTAAATTTGCTTTCAGTTTGAAAAACTCAGACTTTCCTTTTAAATTAAAAAAATACATACTAAAATTATAGCTAAATTATATTCAAAAGACATAAAACTTGTTTAATCAAGCTATACCTTATGGTTAAAGTTTTCATTCCACAAGCATTTAGAATAGTTAGTTACAGACATTGTAAAGTAAATTCATGCTGGAAACTATGATGTAGCCATAACTGAAATGTGTACAGAAACAGGAATTAATGAACCTAAGCCAAATAGTCATTTATGCCTCTTAAAACGTAGGTCATATTCCACCTTAAAAACAGTTTTACTTTCAAAGACTGCCTTCATATATTTCACCCTTTTAGGATTACCCAGTTCAACCCCTGAGGGATGTGTGGGGAACTGGATTCCGAACTCAGCTCCATAAGGAGATACCATGGGCTTTAGGAAAGGTTGCCTAACCCTCATGCAACTCAGGGTCCTGAATGTTAAATGAGAAAAAACTCTGACTAAAGCCTAATCCTACTAACTACATGTCATCAAATTTTATATATTCATGTCATTGACAACAAGACTAAAGATGGTGCTGATCAGTTAGGTTTTGCCTCATCATGCATCTCACAGGCTGCAATGTGGTCTTTTTAATATAGAGTTGTTGCTTCAGTACACTCACTAAAGTGATAATAATAATGAGAAGAAGAGGAAGTAGAAAGAAGAGGAAGAACTGTGATATATATACATATATATGTATATGTATATCATGGAATACTATTCAGCTGTGAAAAATAAACTGCCATTTGCAGCAACATGGATGGACCTGGAGATCATCATTCTAAGTGAAGTAAGCCAGAAAGAGACAGAAAAATACCATAGGATATCACTTATATGTGGAATCTAAAAAAAAAAAAAAACAGACAAATGAACTTATTTACAAAACAGAAACAGACTCACAGACATAGAAAACAAACTTATAGTTACCAGGGTGGAAAGGGGGTGAGAAGGGATAAATTGGGAGTTTGAGATTTGCAGATATAACTACTACACATAAAATAGATAAACAACAAGTTTATACTGTAAAGCTCAGGGAACTATATTCAATATCTTGTTCTAAGCTATAATGAAAAAGAACATGAAAAGAAGTATTTGTATGTATATGTAAGATTGAAACATGATGCTGTATACCAGAAATTGACACAACATTGTAAACTGACTAAATTTCAACAAAAAAAAATGTTT